TGGGGGGGGTCTCTGGGGGGATTTGGGGGGGGTCTCTGGTGTGGGGATTTGGGGGTCTCTGGGGGATTTGGGGTCCCTGGAGTATAGCAGGTAATGGGGCTGGGGGGATTTGGGGTCTCTGGAGGGATTTAGGGTCCCTGTGGGGATTTGGGGTCCCTGGAGGGTCTGAGCTCTGTCCCCACAGTGTCCATAGGGGGTTGCAAATGTTTGGGGTCATTTTGGGGCAATTGTGGGGTCTGTGTTCCCACTGTGTCCTTGCAGTGTCCACAGGGGGTTTTGGGTGTGTTTGGGGTGATTTTGGGGTCTGTAACCCCACTGTGTCCCTGCAGTGTGCACAGGGGGTTCTGGGTGTGTTTGGGGTCATTTTGGGGTTTTTGGGGTCTCTGAGCTCCCCCATTCATCCCAGCAGTGTGCACGGGGGGTTCCAGGTGTGTTTGGGGTGATTTGGGGGTTTCTGACCCCACTGTGTCCCCCCAGTGTCCGCAGGGGGTTCCAGGTGTGTTTTTGGGGTGATTTTGGGTGTTTTGGCTCTGTTTGTCCCCGGGTTCCGCGAGGGCTTCCAGGTGTGGTTTTGGGGTGATTTTGGGCTGATTTCAGGTGGTTTTGGGTCTCTTTCCCCGCAGTGTCCGCAGGGGGTTCCAGGTGTACCGCCAGGTGTGCTCTGCCTGTCACTCCATGGAGTTTTTGGCCTTCCGGAACCTCATCGGCGTCACCCACACCGAGGCTGAGGCCAAGGCGCTGGCAGAGGAGGTGACACTGGCACCCTGACCCCCCTGTGCCACCCTGTGCCACCCCCTGTCACCCTGTGCCATCCCCTGTGCCACCCCCAGTGTCACTGCAGCCACCCCATGCCACCCCCAGTGCCCCTGTGCTGCCACCTGCCGTGTCCCAGTGACCCTGTCCCCTGTGTCCCAGTGTCCCAGTGCCCCTGTCCTGCTGTCCCCAATGTCCCTGTGCTGCCACCTGCCGTGTCCCACTGTCCCCCTGCCTGCTCCCCAGTGTCCCAGTGTTCTTGTCCTTTAGTCCCCAATGTCCCCAGTGTCCCAGTGCCCTGTCCTGCTGTCCCCAGTGTCCCCCTGCCTGGTCCTCAATGTCCCACTGTCCCAGTGCCCCTGTCCAGCTGTCCCCAATGTCCCCAGTGACCCTGTCCCCTGTGTCCCAGTGCCCCTGTCCAGCTGTCCCCAATGTCCCCAGTGTCCCTGGTTCCAGGTGTACCGCCAGGTGTGCTCTGCCTGTCACTCCATGGAGTTTTTGGCCTTCCGGAACCTCATCGGCGTCACCCACACCGAGGCTGAGGCCAAGGCGCTGGCAGAGGAGGTGACACCGGCACCCTGACCCCCCTGTGCCACCCCGTCACCCTGTGCCACCCCCAGTGCCCCTGTGCTGCCACCTGCAGTGTCCCAGTGACCCTGTCCCCTGTGTCCCAGTGTCCTTATCCTGCTGTCCCCTGTGTCCCTGTGCTGCCACCTGCCGTGTCCCAGTGACCCTGTCCCCTGTGTCCCAGTGTCCCAGTGCCCCTGTCCTGCTGTCCCCAATGTCCCTGTGCTGCCACCTGCCGTGTCCCACTGTCCCCCTGCCTGCTCCCCAGTGTCCCAGTGTTCTTGTCCTTTAGTCCCCAATGTCCCCAGTGTCCCAGTGCCCTGTCCTGCTGTCCCCAGTGTCCCCCTGCCTGGTCCTCAATGTCCCACTGTCCCAGTGCCCCTGTCCAGCTGTCCCCAATGTCCCCAGTGTCCCTCTGCCTGGTCCTCAGTGTCCCCAGTCTGCTGTCCCCAATGTCCTAGTGCCCCTGCGTTGCCACCTCTGCTGTCCCCAGGGTCTCTGTGTCCCTGTGCTGCCACCTGCAGTGTCCCAGTGCCCCACTCCTGCTGTCCCCAGTGTCCCAGTGCTGCCACCCGTGCTGTCCCTGGTGTCCTGCTGGCTCCATGCCGCTGTCCCACTGTCCCACTGTCCCTGTCCTGCCACCCCCAGTGTCCCCAGCTTGCTGTCTGTCAGTGTCACTGTCACTGTCCTGCCGTGCCTGGTGTCCTGCTGGCTCCATGCCACTGTCCCACTGTCCCGGTGCTGCCATCCCATTGTCCCCGTGTCCGTGTGGTGCCATTCCCAGTGCCCCCGTGTCCCTGCTGTCCGTGTCTCACCTGTCCCTGTCCCTGTCTCACCTGTCCCTGTCTCACCTGTCTGTCTGTCACCTGTCAGGTGGAGGTGCAGGACGGTCCCGATGAGAACGGGGAGATGTTCATGGGTCCCTGCTGTCCCTGTCTCACCTGTCTGTCTGTCACCTGTCAGGTGGAGGGGCAGGACGGCCCGGATGAGAACGGGGAGATGTTCATGGGTCCCTGCTGTCCCTGTCTCACCTGTCTGTCTGTCACCTGTCAGGTGGAGGGGCAGGACGGCCCGGATGAGAACGGGGAGATGTTCATGGGTCCCTGCTGTCCCTGTCTCACCTGTCTGTCTGTCACCTGTCAGGTGGAGGGGCAGGACGGCCCGGATGAGAACGGGGAGATGTTCATGGGTCCCTGCTGTCCCTGTCTCACCTGTCTGTCTGTCACCTGTCAGGTGGAGGGGCAGGACGGCCCGGATGAGAACGGGGAGATGTTCATGCGGCCCGGGAAGATCTCGGATTATTTCCCCAAGCCCTACCCCAACCCCGAGGCCGCGCGGGCGGCCAACAACGGGGCGCTGCCCCCCGACCTGAGCTACATCGTCAACGCCAGGTGAGGGGTCCTGGGGGGCTGTAACTGACCCCGTTACTGATCCTGTTATTGAGCAGTTATTGATCTGTTATTGAGCAGTTATTGATCCCATTATTAACCCCATTATTGACCCCTCAGGCACGGGGGCGAGGATTACGTGTTCGCCCTGCTCATGGGGTACTGTGACCCCATTGATCAGTTATTGATCAGTTATTGATCAGTCATTGATCAGTTATTGATCCCCCAGGCACGGGGGCGAGGATTACGTGTTCGCGCTGCTGACGGGGTACTGCGACCCCATTGATCAGTTATTGATTGGTTATTGATCAGTTATTGATCAGTCATTGATCAGTTATTGATCAGTCATTGATCAGTTATTGATCAGTCATTGATCAGTTATTGATCCCCCAGGCACGGGGGCGAGGATTACGTGTTCGCCCTGCTCATGGGGTACTGTGACCCCATTGATCAGTTATTGATCAGTTATTGATCAGTCATTGATCAGTTATTGATCCCCCAGGCACGGGGGCGAGGATTACGTGTTCGCGCTGCTCATGGGGCACTGTGCCCCCATTGATCAGTTATTGATCGGTTATTGATCATTGATCAGTCATTGGTCAGTCATTGATCAGTCATTGATCCCCCTCAGGCACGGGGGCGAGGACTACGTGTTCGCGCTGCTGACGGGGTACTGCGACCCCATTGATCAGTCATTGATCAGTTATTGATCAGTCATTGATCCCCCTTTAGGCACGGGGGCGAGGACTACGTGTTCGCGCTGCTGACGGGGTACTGTGACCCCATCGATCAGTTATTGATCAGTTATTGATCGGTTATTGATCAGTTATTGATCGGTTATTGATCAGTTATTGATCGGTTATTGATCAGTTATTGATCGGTTATTGATCAGTTATTGATCGGTTATTGATCAGTTATTGATCGGTTATTGATCAGTTATTGATCCCCCTTTAGGCACGGGGGCGAGGACTACGTGTTCGTGCTGCTCACGGGGCACTGTGACCCCATTGATCGGTTATTGATCAGTTATTGATCAGTCATTGATCCCCCTTTAGGCACGGGGGCGAGGACTACGTGTTCGTGCTGCTCACGGGGCACTGTGACCCCATTGATCGGTTATTGATCAGTTATTGATCAGTCATTGATCCCCCTTTAGGCACGGGGGCGAGGACTACGTGTTCGCGCTGCTGACGGGGCACTGTGACCCCATCGATCAGTTATTAATCAGTTATTGATCGGTTATTGATCATTGATCAGTTATTGATCAGTTATTGATTGGTTATTAACCCTTCAGGCACGGGGGCGAGGACTACGTGTTCGCGCTGCTGACGGGGTACTGCGACGCCCCCGCGGGGGTCTCGCTGAGGGAGGGGCTCCATTACAACCCCTACTTCCCGGGCCAGGCCATCGGCATGGCCCCCCCCATCTACGACGAGGTGCTCGAGTTCGAAGACGGTACGGGGGGCTGGGGGGCTGGGGGCGGTGGGTCTGGGGTCTCAGGTGGGTCTGGGCTCTCTCAGGGTGGGTCTGGGGTCCCTCGGGTGGGTCTGGGCTCCCTCGGGGCGGGGCTGGGCTCTCAGTGCCCCCCGCCCACAGCTGCTGCTGCTCTCGGGGCTGCTCGTGCCCCTGCTGTACTACATGAAGCGCCACAAGTGGTCGGTGCTCAAGAGCAGGAAGATGCTCTACCGGCCCCCCAAGTAGGGGCTGCCCCCCAGACCCGGCCCGGGGGGCTCCGAGCCCCCCAAATCCTGTTCTGGGGGGGCTCCGAGCCCCCCAAATCCCGTTCTGGGGGGGCCCCGAGCCCCCCAAATCCCGTTCTGGGGGGGCTCCGAGCCCCCCAAATCCCGTTCTGGGGGGGCCCCGAGCCCCCGGCCCCCCCCGGGCAGGGGGAGGGGAGGGAGGGGCGCCCCCCCCCCAGGAGGGGCATTGGGGGAGCTGCCCCCCCTCGTGTTCGACCCCGGCCCCGCGGGGAATAAAGCCTGGGGTTCACAGAGACACCGAGTGCGGCTGTCTGTCTGTCCGTCCTGGGGCTGTCTGTCCATCCTGGGGCTGGGTCTGTCTGTCTGGGCTGGGGCCATCTGTCTGTGCTGGGTGTGGGGTGGGAATAAAGCCTGGGGTCCACAGAGACACCGAGTGCGGCTGTCTGTCTGTCCGTCCTGGGGCTGTCTGTCCGTCCATCCTGGGGCTGTCTGTCCTGGGCTGGGGCGGGCTGGCTGTCTGTGTGTCCTGGGTCTGTCTGTCTGTCTGGGCTGGGGCCATCTGTCTGTGCTGGGTGTGGGGTGGGAATAAAGCCTGGGGTTCACAGAGACACCGAGTGCGGCTGTCTGTCCGTCCTGGGGCTGTCTGTCCGTCCATCCTGGGGCTGGCTGTCCTGGGGCTGGGTCTGTCTGTCTGTCCTGGGCTGGGTGTGGGGTGGGAATAAAGCCTGGGGTTCACAGAGACACCGAGTGCGGCTGTCTGTCTGTCTGTCCTGGGCTGGGGCTGTCTGTCCTGGGGCTGGGTCTGTCTGTCCATCCTGGGGCTGGGTCTGTCTGTCTGGGCTGGGGCCATCTGTCTGTGCTGGGTGTGCGGTGGGAATAAAGCCTGGGGTTCACAGAGACACCGAGTGCGGCTGTCTGTCTGTCCGCCCATCCTGGGGCTGTCCGTCCATCCTGGGGCTGGCTGGCTGTGCTGGGGCTGGCTGTTTGTCTGTCCTGGGCTGGGTCTGTCTGTCCATCCTGGGGCTGGCTGTTGGTCCTGGGTGTGGGGTGGGAATGAAGCCTGGGGTTCATCGAGACTGAGCGTGGCTGTCTGTCTGTCCTGGGGCCATGTGTCTGTCTGTGTCCGTCCTGGGGCTGGTTGTCTGTGCTGGGGCTGTCTGTCTGTCCTGGGGCTGGCTGGGTTGTGGGTCTGGCTGTGGGACTGTGTGTGTGGGGCTGGGTCTGTCCTCACTGTGGGGCCGGCTGTGGGGCTGGCTGTGCCCGGGCCGTGCCAGTGCCATAGGTCAGGCCGTGGGTCAGACTATGGGTCAGGCTGTGCCGGTGCCATGGGTCAGGTCAGGCCGTGCCCAGCCCAGGCCGTGCCGGTGCCATGGGTCAGGCCATGCCCAGGCTGTGGGTCAGGCTGTGCTGGTTCCGTGGGTCAGGCCATGGGTCAGGTCAGGCCGTGCCCAGCCCAGGCCATGCCCAGGCCCTGGGTCAGGCTGTGCCAGTGCCATGGGTCAGGCTGTGCCCAGGCCGTGTCAGTGCCATGGGTCAGGTCAGGCCGTGCCCAGCCCAGGCCGTGCCGGTGCCGTGTCCCCGCCCTGGCCCCGCTGGGTTTGGGGTCTCACTCAGAGCCAGCTCCCCCTGACCCACCCGGGGAGTGACCCCTGACCCTGACCCTGTCACTGTCCCTGTCCCCATCGCGGGGAGACCCACCCGGGGAGTGACCCCTGACCCCTGACCCTGTCACTGTCCCTGTCCCCATCGCGGGGAGTGACCCCTGACCCTGTCCCTGTCCCCATCCTGGGCAGTGACCCCTGACCCTGTCACTGTCCCTGTCCCCATCCCGGGCAGTGACCCCTGACCCTGTCACTGTCCCTGTCCCCATCCCGGGCAGTGACCCCTGACCTCTGTCCCCAGCAGTGGCCATGCTGGGGTGTTCCTGTGTCCCTGTCCCTACGCCAATGCCCGTGCTAGGGGTGGCCCCTGTGTCCCTGTCCCCACACTGGTGGCTGTGCCAGGGCTGTCCCCATGTCCCTGTCCCCACATTGGGGCTGTCCCCGTGTCCCTGTCCCCAGGGGGGTGGCAGTGCCAGGGCTGTCCCCGTGTCCCTGTCCTCATGCCAGGGGTCTGTCCGTGTGTCCCTGTCCCCGTGTCTGTCCCCAGGGGGGTGGCAGTGCCAGCCTGTGACACTCAGTGCCTTTATTGGGCCCCCCGCGGGTCCCTGGGCCCCTCCACGCCCCGAGGCCACCCCAGTGTCCATCCCGGGCTCTGTCCGTGTGTCCATCCCAGGCTCTGTCTGTGTGTCCATCCTCTGTCCCAGTGTCCATCCTGGGCTCTGTCCGTGTGTCCATCCTCTGTCCGTGTGTCCATCCCGGGCTCTGTCCGTGTGTCCATCCCAGGCTCTGTCTGTGTGTCCATCCTCTGTCCCAGTGTCCATCCTGGGCTCTGTCCGTGTGTCCATCCTCTGTCCCAGTGTCCATCCCGGGCTCTGTCCGTGTGTCCATCCCGGGCTCTGTCCGTGTGTCCATCCTCTGTCCCATGTCCATCCCGGGCTCTGTCCGTGTGTCCATCCCGGGCTCTGTCTGTGTGTCCATCCTCTGTCCCAGTGTCCATCCCGGGCTCCGTCCGTGTGTCCATCCTCTGTCCGTGTGTCCCTCCTCTCTGTCCCCGCCGGCCCCTCCCAGGCCCTGGGGCGGCTCCGGCCCGGTGCCAGCTCTGTCCGTCCGTCCGTCCGTCTGTCCCTCGGTGTCCCCGGGGGGCTCAGTGGCAGTTCTGGCACCGGGGGTGGCACCTCTGCCCGTTGACGTTGCAGCGACAGCCGCCACTGGTGTCCCCGGGACCCTGGGGACAGGGCAGGGTCACTCGGGGGTCAAAGGTCAGCTGGGGTCACTCGGGGGGCAGCTGGCAGCCACTCTGTGTCCCCCCCTCACCCTGGGGTCACCCTGGGGTCCCCCTGCAGGGATCAGGGGTCAGAGGTCAGCCAGGAGCCCACCCTGGGGTCCCCCTGTGTCCCCCCCTCACCCTCGGGTCCCCCATCACCCCCAGACCCCAGCACAGCCCTTGGTGACCCCCCCTCATCTCAGGAGCCCCTCGAGACCCCCCCTGGATCCCCGCTCACCCCAA